GATGTAACTATGAGACGCTTTCTTCCTCGCTGTCAGCAAAACCATCCTCCACTGAAGGTTCTTATCGCATCTCAATTAAAAGTCTAAAGCCTTGATTTTTTTCCCCCCCGTTTACCAAAATGCCTTCAGACGTATCTAATTCTCCCAATTCACCAAAAGATACTGATTAAAATAGAAGATTACAAGAAAAGGCGACGAGATGCACTGAAGGGTTTCTTGTAAGTGGTGCTCAGTGGACAACTGCCAGAAAACACTGCAATGCTGACTTCCTTGTAAGCCTGACATGGCAGTTACTACTGTTACAGGCAGTGGGTGAGGTTACAGTCAGGATGGAGCATTTCAGAGTGACCATAAGAGGACACAGGAAGCGGTAAAAAAAGAAAGCTAAAATCCAAACTCAAGTCTGGTTTCCTCGCAAGAAAAAAAAACTTTGGAGGAAAAACCGGAGCGATGGTCATCTTTTTAAAGGTTAAAGATATTTAAAAGGAGAAGAAGCGAGGTTCCTCTCCAGGTCCACCAAACCGACCTCTTGAGGCGGCTCAACAAGTTTGAGAAGGGAAAGATGAGAGACCCATCAATATTAACTTACCACTGAGACCTCCTTTCCAAGCTCTTAAATATTTAATCGTCCTTGGACAGCTCTGTTGCTTCGGAGGCCGAGCCAGTGTGGATCCCTTCTACAAGACCACTCCTGTTCCTGCTCAATGAAGGCCTTGTCCGGTGGCACCACACTGCCCAAGGAACGGGCGTCTCCAAAGAATTCAGGATTTTTTCCACTACATGCAGCTTGAGGCTGACAGAGTTGGTTCACTGTGTCTTACTAGAGAAGGGCATAAATCCTGAATTCAGCCTGGAAACCTGAGAACACCGTGTAGATAGCTTAATTTATCTCACTGGACTCACTGTCATCAGCACGGCCACTTTATACCTTCAGTTTCTACAAAACTAGTCCCCTGCATGTAGAAAGGACTAGCAGTGACAGATAAAGAGAGACACGACAGCAACCTTCCCTGAGCTACAAGCCTCCTTTTTTTTTTTTTTTTTCCAAGAGGGGAAAGGCAACGTTGAACTGTTGATGTTCTGGTGGAAAACAGAGAGGAGGAACCAGTTTAGCAGCAGTGTAACGTGGCAACTGACAACAGAAACTGGAATGACACCTCTACCAAGCCACTTCCTTGTTCCACATAAACCCTGACATGATGTTGCTTTTCAGTTTCGCACATAGTCCTTTATCTACAGCGTGAAGCACTTCGATCAGGGCGGGTTTTCTGTGGCTGAATCGAGAAATAAACACGTTTATGGAGCGAGGTAGGTCAGTGAAATGCAAGAGAAAGTAGGGAGTTTTTTTTTTTTCTTCTTCTTGTTGCTCAGGATCTGGGGCCTGCGTGTGACGGCGCACTTGCAAGTGTAGTCGCAAGGGCCAGACTGCATCTCATGAGCCATGCATCATGTCAAGAAAGCACTCACTGGAGCATTTCAATTTGCTTTTGTGTGCCTCCCCAGCCTTCTCCACTGCCCCAGGTAGAGAAGAATGGAGAAGTGCATCACCCAATGTGAGCGAGTGAATGAGAGGGATGGAGGGAGGGACGGAGAGAGCAGTTGTACGGGTGTGTGTGTGGTTACTTGCGAGTGTGAGAGCATGAGACGCAGAAAGGGGGCGAGTGATGAGCTTCATGACCACTTCCTTCCAGCATTCAAAACCATCACACAAGTCTCTCTTGTTTGATCCTCTGTCCTCTCTGTCAAGCTTTTTTAGTGTAATCCTGAAATACCTTGCAAAAATCCAGTTATGTAATTTTTTTTTTTTTCCTCTGTCCGCCATAGTTCAGTTCTGCCCTGTCACCTTAAAGCTGAACCGCAGTCACAATGTGTGTTAAATATTTTCGCGCAGGAGTCAAAATTCAACCGGGTGGGATTTGGATGGGTGCAAATATTTAGGTGGCTGCAGATTTGGGGCCATAAAATTAAACCTATAGGAATAAAACAAAAGCTGAAGACTAGATGTTGATACTGGAGAACCTTGTAGCATCTTGGAAGTTCATTTAAATAATTCAGTTGTAAAAGGAGTATGTGTGTCATCGTGGCAGGTCCAGGTGACCAATCAGTGAATCCCTTTGACCTCCGTACAGCCCTGTATTTCCTGTATGTCAATTAATTTACAATAAATTCACTAAAACACTATTTTGTTGGAAGGTTTGCACCATGTAGCAGGATTTTCACCAAAATACTTCACTAATTTGAGGTTGGTAGTGTTGCATCTGACAATAATTTCATCCATATTTAACTCTAAAGATAATATTTCCAAAGAAATAATGAATCTTTTAGTCTCAAAAATATCCGACAGAAAACGAGATCCACTCGATTTCCTACATTCCATCTAAAATCCCAGAATATTAGCATACAATATGGCAAAGAAAGCAACAATCACAGTGCATGAGATCATAAAAACAATGTTCTGGTGATCACACAATTGATTAATTGATTGATCAGTTTAAGACACGATGCCTCCAAACTGTAAAACCACAGCAGCCACCAAAGTGCCCTGCAGTGATGCACATTACCATACAGAAGTGTCATTTATCAACAAAGAAATTAGCATACAGAGAACCTGAGGGACTTCAGGGGCCTCTGAGACCTTTGGGGCCCCTTGACAGATACCAACTAGTCATGAGTGAATGCATCAAGAAGACTTGCCAAAGTTGCTACACCACTAAAAGAGATCACAACCTGTTCGTTAAAAAAAAAACCCCATCACCATCACCTGCAGGTTTAAATCACTGAGCTCATTTGCAGAACATCCAGCAGACTGAATCCACTGCACCCTGTCTGCAACACAAATGTGTCGACCGCAGCAGATTCCTGCCCGGCCGTCCTCTGTCTGCTCCTCCTTGAGAACCTGTTTGCCCTGCCACGCCGGGGAGAAGGAGCATCGCCACCATTTTGATTGCTCTTCTCAGCCCCAGCATTGTCGCAGCACAGTGTGTCAAGCTCACAGTCTCCTTGTCAGCAAGATTTCACACAGTGGCCAGGGGAACTGCAGAGCGTAGCACAACCACACTCTCTTCCTCACCCACACACACACACACACACACACATGCAGCGGTTTGGAAAAAAAAAAACACACAGAGAAACACACAACAGCTTGCAAACGCACCTCCTTCACTTTCCTGACAGGCTGGTCAGCAGACACCTTTAGGATATAATGTGTGAAAAGTCACCTAAGGCTGTGCAGTGGACGCCGAGCGCACTGCAACATCTGAGTCTGTTAATAAATGACCCGATCATCTAAATAACTTTTAAAAGAACTCAAAAAAACACCTGACAAACGAGCACAATCTCACACTACACACACACACGTGCCGACCCGCAAGGAGTCCGCCGTGTCATGTGCGAACAACACCCCCATGAGGAACCAGGTCTTTTATTTTGTAGAAACCGAGACTTCATTTGAGCAGAAACCCCAAAAAAGAGAATCATCTTGAGAACTTCCTTTAACCTGCAACAGCCATTGCTTCACCGTCAAACAGAAGAGAGAGAGCGAGAGCGTGTTGACACCACTTTGTTGAACATTAACTACCTGCATGGCTCAAAAAAATAAAAAAACACTGCATTATTCAGCATTAAAATTCCCATCTCATCCATCCAGACATCACAAACCGCACGTTGCCTCAAAACCTACATCTGCAAAAGTTGCCCATGTGTTTTTGAAATCCCCACAAAATTAAAGTTCATGGAGTTAAAAGGCAGAAGTTAACCTTGAAAGCACCACTGAAAGGATCTAAGCTGACTTTTTGCAGAGTTCTTCTGCTTCCTCTAGCAACACTAAACTTCCTCCCTCGAGCAGAAGAAGAAGAAAAAAAAAAGGCAAGAAGAAAAAGGAGCAAGAAGAAGGAGAGGAAGAAGAAGAGGAGGAGAAGGAGAAGGAGGAGGTGGCCGATCTCTCTCTCTTTTTTTTAACACAACCTTTGTTCTGGCGTGAGGGATCCTGCCTGTCTGACTCCAGGGCTCTCCTTGGAGACTCATCTGCCTTCCTCCATTTTATGGTGAAGCCCTCACTAGTATGACATACCTGACTTGAGAGCAGTGACAGCAAAAATATGAATCC